CAAACATGTTTGGGCAGCTTCCTCACAGAACATGGCCAAAGGAACTCCTGCCATCTAATGGACAGAGAGAACATCATGATTTGCAGAAAATTAGCATTACTACAGTGTTAGGCTCACAATATTTCAAATAACAGCAACTTTCCACTCAGTGGTTTAAAAGCCCTTATGTACTAAAACAGGTTAAGTAAGAAATATGTAAGAATATTCTCAGACAATGCTCCCCTGTATGGGGAGATGAAAGGAAACCAGGGAAAGAAAGGAAGGAGGGAAGGTTAACAGTTAGGTACTTGTGTCAGCATTGTACTTAGTGAGCATACTCTCATTCCTCCAATCAATGAGGTAGGCAACATAAACCCCATTTCCAGATGAGGAAACTGCAACTCACAATATAGGGAAAAGCTGGCCTTGGCTGACTCCTTTATGTTATGCTGCTTCCCATCAGGATTTATTTCTGAATCAACAAATGATAAGGAGGCATTAAAATGTTGCCCAGTTGTGACATCCATATATTTACATTTAAGACTTCAATGAAAGTGCTTAAGATCCCATTTCATTCTCAAAAGACATCGGAAGAATCTCTATTTCACTAAATAATATACACATCAGCTGGTGCCCAAAGCAGAGAGAGCCTCCGATACCACATATATTAGAATGGACATTTTTTTTTTTCTTTTTCTTTTTTTTTTTTTGAGGCAGAGTCTCGCTCTGTCACCCAGGCTGGAGTGCAGTGGTGGATCTGGGCTCACTGCAAGCTCCGCCCCCCGGGTTCACACCATTCTCCTGCCTCAGCCTCCCGAGTAGCTGGGACTACAGGTGTCCGCCACCACGCCTGGCTAATTTTTTGCATTTTTAGTAGAGACGGGGTTTCACTGTGTTAGCCAGGATGGTCTCGATCTCCTGACCTCATATTCCGCCTGCCTCGGCCTCCCAAAGTGCTGGGATTACAGGCATGAGCCACCACGCCCGGCCTAAGAATGGACATATTTTCAAAGCTAAAAAACTGGAATGCCTTTCTAACAATTTCATACTACTTCTAGTTGAGACAGACATTCTTAAAAATGCAATTTGGATGCAGAAACATTGGCATTCTCAGAACACATTGAGTTTTTGGAATTGAAGCTGTCTCAGAAAAATCCAGATGAGGGCCGGGCGTGGTGGCTTACGCCTGTAATCCCAGTACTTTGGGAGGCTGAGGCAGGCGGATCACAAGGTCCGGACATCGAGACCATCCTGGCTAACACAGTGAAACCCCGTCTCTACTAAAAATACAAAAAATTAGCTGGGCGTAGTGGTGGGCGCCTGTAGTCCCAGCTACTTGGGAGGCTGAGGCAGGAGAATGGCGTGAACCCGGGAGACGGAGCTTGCAGTGAGCCGAGATAGCGCCACTGCACTCCAGCCTGGGTGACAGAGTGAGACTCCGTCTCAAAAAAAAGAAAAAAAAAGAAAAATCCAGATGAATAGGGTTCCACGTGTATGAAGATGAATCGCATTAGCAAAGCATAATCAAATGTGTATATTATACTTTCCCATCGTATTTTATACATACAAGACCTTAAATTGGTCTTTTAAATTGTTATGGTGCTTGGTACACAATAGGAGCTAAAAACATGACTGTAATAGAGAACTGTAAAATTTTTGCTTACCCACCTCTTATACAAGGTTGTAAAAAGTTGTTAGAGATTAAATGTCCACCAGTTGTTCTGTCTTCACTGAGGTCAAAGCAATGGCAATGGAGCACCAGCAAATTGGAGTGGAGAGAAATTAGAACTAAGATGGATGGGATGGGGGTTGTGGGACTGAGAAGCCTTAGGACAGACGACCAAGGGAAAAACAGTATAATCCTTTAGATGTTTTAAGAACGATAGGAGCTGTCCTTAGAATGGGATTATTCTGGTGGAGCTTGGAAAACCCCATGGTGTCAGATTCCTGGTCAACTCCCAAGTTTTGACTGAGTACCCGAGTTTCTAGGTGCAGCAATGGAAAATACGGGGGGATATATAGTAGTCTCTACTTTCAAGAAGCTTATAAACTGTGTATAGGGAATCAAGGAAATGATCATTTGGACTGATCAGGGAAGGCTTTGTAGAGGGAAGTAGGATTTCTGCTGGCCTAATAATGAATATATTTCGGATATACAGATTGGAGGGAAAGGCATTCCAGGTAATGGCAACTACAAAATCCATAGGCCCCTTTGGGGCCACTCTGAATCTAAAGCATGGCATTAGAATCTTGGCTTCATTTAAATTACATTTTATGGGGAAGTGGGGTGGTCTACTGTTAAGACATTATCTAAGAGGAATGAGGCATTTCGTTTTTCTTACCATTTGGTGTCACTCTCGATCAAATAAATTGTACTAAACTTAGGAAAATAGGCACCCTTGTTAAAAGTGGTTTTGGCTTTTGTCAAGAAAGCAAATTAATTTTTTTAAACACAAAAGTGATAGTGAGGTTCCTTTTTATGATGAGTACACATGTGGTATGATCATTTACCTATGGAGTTTCAAAATAAAAAATTAAAATGACAGAAAGGACACTCACAGAACACCAGGCATTCATTTCACAAACTGTGGGGAAAAGTGTATTTTAAAGATACATTGCTAATACTCGCCTAAAGATTACTTATACACACAGTGTGACTGTTTTTTTTTCTAAATCAGAGCTTTGAGTGTAGAGACAGTGGCAACATGCCAGAAGAAATAAATTTCTACCAGGTAAAAAAGCATGAAGATGAGTGCCTAGGGAGATTTGGAGGTGGCTGGGTTCCCCTGGCCCTGCTCCTTTTTCTTAAGGACAGAGCTAAAATAACAACAATGTGAGGCTACAGATCATCTGTTTCTTATTTACTTTCTTGGTCTTGTCCTAGCTAAAGTCATTTCTAGATCATGTGCTAGTCTTCAGAGAAGTTATGGAAGGAATTTACACAAAGGGCAAATACATAATTGAATACATGTATAAAAACACATCAATAGAATGTGGATAGAGAACATAGGCAAAAAGTCAGATTAGAAGGAAATCAATGGATCTTTCATTTTCTGATTTGTACCACAGCTGACAGTGTTCAATTTCTTCAGGATGTCAGAAGCCCATTCCTTGATCCAACTTTTGGTTACCTGCTGGAGGAACACTGGCATTCTCTAAATCTAGAACTAGAGGTGTATCTATAAAGTACTTATTCCCTATTTTCCTTCATATGTTAAGTTTTCTAGTGCTAACCCTGTTTTCCTCAAAGAATTGCTTCAGTAGGGTCTAAGATGGAATCAGCTAATGGCTAACACATGATGTGTTAAATTCGGAAGAGTAATTTTGCACATGGTTTATGCTTAAATAGAAATGCTAAACCATTTACATCTGTTTTCTAGTCATCGTTCTTGCTTTATAAAAGCTATGTGTATGCTCTCCAAATAAGTTTTTATTTTGCCCATTTTGAACTCTTCCATATATTAATTTTTTAAAGCACTCAAAACAGAGATCAAGAACAATTGTGTCCTTTTAGTTCATTGTCTTCTACAGAGGAAAAAATCAGGTCAGATTAAACTCTTGAACTGTTGCAATTACTTTTGTTTTCCGAACTTCAGTTTTTAAATTTTCTTTTAATTTGCAATCACTTTCCTAAGATCATGCCTTTTTACTTTAGATAGCTAAAACATCATTGTTTACTAAATACTTGCCTTAGCACTGACCTCTGTAGTTACTTTGTTGAAAACTGTGCTGTAACTTGACACAATATTAACTACTTCTGATTACTTATCTGGTACATGTTTGATAATATCTACTTTTCAAGAAAGGAAGACAGTTCAGACACATAATTTGACAAAGTTAGGAAACAGCAACATCAGTTCTTCGAACACAGGAAAAAATCTGAACAGTTGACATTTCTGTCTGGTGTTAGATGATGTTCTTTAAAGACCACAGACAACATGCACAAATGTAGGCGGAAACAATACATCTGCTGATACTGGCAGACAGCATTACCCGCCAAATTTGGCCAGTTTGTTAAGATAAATAACTTTTCAGTGACGTGCAGGGCTGAAATTACATAAACAACAGAAATTACTAAGACTTAAGCCTATGAGTTTTGTGGGTTTCAAGATTTTATGCAATCAATATCCCGACATCTGTAACACTATTTTGTCCCTAAAATGCTGATGCCAGGAACAGTAACGTTTTACTTGATGACTTGTTCATATCTTGAAATAAACGATGATTAATTCTTGGAATAACCATTATTGAACCACACTTTTATTTAGGTCATTAAGACAACTATAATCATCTCCTTATAAGGAAAAGTTTCATTAAAAATGCTAGAGCTCAGCCTGTTTCAAAAACCAATACTTGTAGCTTGTTATATTAATAGTTCTAAATGTCTAAGGCTTTTTAAGTGAAAATACCCTTAAGTTTTATTGAGCCTGAGCAGTAGGAATTTTTAAAAACTGAGTGAAAAATAGCTGATTAAGAGGAAATGGCATTAACTAGTTACCTTCTTAGTCTATCCCTAGAAATGACTATTTTGCCTAATTCAAATCTTTTAGAAACATTTCCCATTATTTAAAAATGGTCTTCAGAAGGCGTAAAAACCTAAAGAATATGCATATAGAAGCTCGCTGCCAATTCTGATTTAGCACATTAGGAATATTAGTCCAAAATTGAGGCAATATTCTTCAGTGGGACTGAAATTCCCTGAGAACTAATTTGTAACACTAGGTATCTTTAAAAACACTAGCTCCCTTTTACTTCCCCCTCAGGATCAATCAAGTTCTTTGCCATTAATGGAAACTTAAAACAACAGCTCTGAATTTTAAACTTTCTTAGAGAATGTCTCCCTATCTACCCTTTTGGTAAATTTTTCTTTCTTTTTAATTTCTGAATATGTGTTAACATGACTGTTTCATTAACATGCTACCTATTTGCTGAAGAAATATCATCATTCACCCATAAGAAAAATATTCCCAGTGGTCAATTTAAAAAAAAAAAGCTATTTTTCAAATGAGTACTCTGACATAAAAAATATAAAAGGATAACTTTATTAAATATACAAATTCAAGAGCATTCAATTTTTTTTAAGATTATGGCATAAGACAGAGCAGATCAATGGTAATGGTTTATATAGATATACCCTATAATTACCAAACAGATTAGGTAGATATACTAATCTACCAATGCTCAAAATAACAAAATGAATATATGTCCCTCAACTATTTCTGTATTTTATGACTACTAAATGGGAAATCTGTCAGCTGACTCAACCACCAGACTTTTTCCCATAGGAAGTTTGATATGCTGTCATTGATATATATCATTTCTGAATATGGACCTCTATCTTAGGTCCTTTTCTCTTTGCCTACTTCATTTTCTCTCTTCCCAACCCACCTAAGACTTAGTCAAAACAGGATACAGAGATCTGGATGGCTCTATGCAGAGGAAAAATCTCCAATAATACTGTCAATTCTGTATTCACTTTTCCTTTCAGCAGCTACCTAATTATATCTAAGATGGTGTGAAAAAATATACACCTCAAAAAAGAAAAGCATTTGGACTATCAATCTTCACCTTGGTCCTGCAGCTTCCCTTTATCAACCAGTGTATATATTATTTTAAATTCCCAACTGTAAACACATACAATATTTAATAAAACATCCAGAAACTTTGTGGTCAGCACCATGTAATTTCCGAGGAGAATGTTTTTGGTAGGGGCAGAGAAGGAAGAAAATCGAGAAGCCATTAAGAAAAAATGGCAATTCACACTAAAATGCTTTCATAAAGTGTTTTTAAAAAATGGATAAATTCAATTTTAGGTGATACTTTGCCCCATGACCAACATTTCCTCATTGTTTTAGTGTTCATAAAAGGCGTAATATGTACCTCTAGAAAAGGAAATTATCTTCTTTTCTTACATTGTTAGAGCACCAGCACCAGGTTGAGTTTCCCCAAAGTATACATAGCTCATAACTCTAAAAAAATCTACAAATTAAGTCTTTTGATTCATTTAATCCTCATCACATCCGTTAATTTTAATTAATTAAAACTAAAACTGCTCCTTTTTCTGCATATGTCAGTGAAAAGTAATTAGGGAAACTAAAAATCTGACCTAATAAGGAACCCACCTAAAATCTACTTAGGTAGGTTTAACTCAAAGAAGATCATGTTGTTAGTCCCAACAACTATCCCAGGCATTTTAAGTATTCTTAATCTATATTTTAGAATGTGCCACCAAACACTAAAATGTTAAAATAAATTATTAATCCTGCTCTGGTCTCTAAACAAGAACTTATGGCTATTACAAAATATTCTTTTTTATTCTACCTCATAACAGTAAACATTAAATGAAGACCCATCATCACAAGCTCATATCTTTAAAAAATGGATGCAGCAAAGCTTCTTCTGCTGTTATTCTTGAAGCTGGATTTAGATCTAGAAGTTTATCAAGCAGGTCATAAGCTTCATCAGGTACCTCATTCCAGCCTTCTAAATTGGTAGTATACTCATCAAAACAACACCCACAGCTATTACTATCCCCCTTTTTAAATGAATTCCCTGAGTATTGTCCTGGAGGTGTTTGTATGAGGCGAGAAGCTTTATGGTCAGTCTTCTCTGAAACAGTTGGTTGATGAGAAGCAGGTCCTTGTATATCACTTGTTAACTTGGGAGTGTTAGAATCCATACCCCTGAGTCTCTCACAGAGTTTTCTCAAGTCTTGTGCTGGAACTTCTTTGCTACATAATATTGATTTCCCTAAAAGCAAAAGAAGAAAAAACAACAACAGAAAAAGCCATTTTATTATTTGAGTATATCAGAAGCCTCTCTCATGAGAAACATGAAAGTTCAAACATATGCTTTATGGACAGGGACACACAAACACACACACACATACAGTGAGATAGAGCACCACATGCTATATTTAAGTTGTATGTGAATTGCACAGTGGGAGATAAAGTGAGAGATAGTAAGTAGAAAGCAGTGACTTACTAAGCTATGCCAGGCACTCACTTGACTCTGCCAGTTTCTCAAGCTTCATCTTATCCTTCTACAATCTTTAACTAGCTGCAGCTCCCACACCCCCACTCTACTTCCTTTCCAGCCTTCTATGTCTTTGACTACATGACTCCTGTCTTTGCCTATGATGTCCTGCACTCCTTGTGTGCCCAGGACACTCTCACTGGCATCACCACTCAGATCAAGAATCACCTCAGGCTTGACACCCTCAGAGAGAATTGATCAATTTCAGCTTCTACGGTATCTTGGGAGGAGTTCTACTATTATTTTTGCTATCCTATATATGTCTGTCCCACCTAGTAGACTGTGAGCTCTTTGAAGGTAGGAACTGTCTTATCTATCTTTGAACCTCCCAAACCCAGCTTATGCCTGGTACATGTTAGGTGGTCAGTTAATGTCTGTTGGACTAGACAAAAAGGCATTATTCATTTCAACAACTCTGTTCAAATGACAACATACATCCTTAGAGATGCTGTTCTTGACCAACCTATCCTAAATGAGCCTCTTCCCTCCCCTTTTCCTTTTATCTTTCTCAGTACCACTCATTTCTCATAGTACTTATGTTCTCTCCCTCACTAGAATTTAAGCTCTGTCAAAGCAGAGACTTGCAATAGTACTTGGCATACATAAAGCCCCAATAAATGCTTCTGAATGAACAAATAAACAAACTATATCTTAGTTTTTAAAAATATAAATGTCTGAAACAACTTCCTGATGGGTTTATTATCAGATGTGCAAAAAGAAGTTAATCACGCAAATGGCAATCATGTATTATTTTTGCCTTGCATTTACTTATTAAACATAAATGTACTAAACAATAAGTACCATAACATTTAGATGCTTTTCTGGGAATGTAGATTGTCAACAAAGTCATTAATCTGGCTGAGGATGATAAAAAGTTACCTTTCCCTATTCTGAACTAACTATTGGACTGATGTTTAACTAAGCCAGGGGAAAAAGAGGGGAGGGAAAGGGAGGAAACAAAAGAAACAATTACCAAAAACCAAATTCTATGAGGATACAATATGCCAATCCTTTTTTACTTTTGAACTGATTCTATCATTCCTATTCTCTCTGAAAAATCAGAGCCAGAGGGGAATACTCACATAGTTTTTTATTCATTAGCTTGTTCTGAAGTCATAAAATAATTAATAGTATACGTTATCGCATGTCCCCAAGTTATACAATATGCTTTTTTTTATATGACCAAAAAGAAGATTGATTTATAACATTCAGGAAAAATAACTCCAACTAACACAATCGGTCAACATACTTTGTTACAGACTACTATGTGTCAGGAATTTGTTTCAGCTCAAGACTTTTCTTTTTAATTTATCCAATACAATTCACTGAGTACTAAATGACAACCCACAATGGAGCCAGGTTTAAGGGCTGAGGACAGTGGAATAGGTTACAGATAAGAGAAGTAAAGGTGATCTCACTGCTAATCTCAGCTAAGTCATTTCTTTAGGTTACAAAGGGGAACACAGTTGTGTTTGCTGAAATTTTGAGGCTTTTATACTCAGTCCAAAGTTATAGTAAGATCTGACTGAAATAACTACAGATGTCATACTAATACAACTGAGACAAGTCCTATGGCATTATTTTTATTATTTGTTTTTTGAGACAGTCTTGCTCTGTCGCCAGGCTGGAGTGCAATGGTGCAATCTTGGCTCACTGCAACTGCCGTCTCCTGGCTTCAACTGCAGTTCTTCTGCCTCACAGCCTCCCGAGTAGCTGGGACTACAAGTGTGTGCTACCATGCCCAGCTAATTTTTGTGTTTTTAGTAGAGATGGGATTTCACCATATTACCCAGGATGGTCTCATCTCATGACCTCATGATCCGCCCACCTCAGCCTCTCGAAGTGCTGGGATTACAGGTGTGAGCCACCGTGCCTGGTCCTATTTTTTTTTCAAATATGAAAACAAGTATTACAATGATAAATCTCTAAAAGCTCTTGCTTGCTATCATGGCACTTGATCTGGAGTATTTTTGTGTCAGATGTTGTACTTCCATTGTTGGCCCTGATTATAACTTGGATTACCAATGGGGAGATTCAAGCTCTTCAATAAAATATTTTGGTGTTGGCTCATAAACTTCATGTTCATAAACCTCTCACCAAGTTATTCAATAGTAGATGAAAGTTTTCTCAGTTGAGAATAAACATACTTGTTATGTTTATTATTATGTAAGAATGCCATTTCTAAGATATCAATCTTGTTTTCCACTCATGGTCACTTTTCCCTTGTATGTATTATTTCATCCTATTATCTTCAAATAAAATTTTCTTACAGTAAGTACAAGATAGTTACAATTGTGGACCGACTTTGCTGTAGAAACATATTTTGGCAAGCCTCTATTAAGATGAGGCTTTCTTCACAACCACCAAGTTTTTCTTATAGATTGGACTATAGCACTAGTGCATAAGCTAGGGCAGTAATTTCTGCAGTGGTTCTTAAACACCTGTAGTTTCTTAGTCAAAATCACTTGTTTTTTCAAACTAACAAGGCTGGAGCCTTCCTAAGTATCTTATTTTTCTGAATCATATTTTCCAAGAATAGGTAGAGTGGGCAGGCATATGTATTTCTTAAAGATTCTCAGATAATTCTGACATGCAACCCCGGTTAAGACCCGCTGATCCTGGGGCTGAGCACAAGGCAGCCCAGCTACTCTTGAGGTAGGCTGGTTGAACCTTTATCTCCTGGGGTATTCTGTATTGTATGGTAGTAAGCTGACTCAATCCCACTTATTCCTTGGAAAGCATTAACTATAACTGAGCTTGGAAAATAAACATTAAACGGGCATTTGAGTTCAGACTGTTGGCCACAGCAAGGCTGAGATAATTCTCACGTGCCCTATGAAGTACACTGCACATCCCAGTCTTGAAGAACTTGCATGCTAAGGAGATGACATCCATGTCCAATATATGTTTACAATAATATCCCATCAGTTAAGGCCTTCTATGCATTCTGCTTCTCTGCTCCCATAAACCTACACAACCTGACAACACAAATTTCTATTCTCTTCCCTAATCCTTATTATACTATATTAATAATTGTTTACTTGTTAGTATAGCCTAAGATCATTTAAGGCAAGGACACTCTAAGTACCAAGACGTAGTACATCTGATGTTTAAAATACAATAAAAAAGTAAAACATATTATTAAAGGTAAATGTATGTAATAAAAGTCAAACCATAACTAAAAGGAGTTAAGATTTTACTCCTTATTCCTACAAAATTATACAGGTAAACTTTAAATACTGCAAAAGGTATTACTTGTGCTTAATAAGATTAAATGATTATATGTATAGAGGAGAGGTGATACGTTTATTTTCAAGCAATTGAAGAATTTTCTACTTAATATTAGAGAACTTTATCAAGACTCAATGTTTATTTGTAAAGAAAATTTCATAATAATTTATTAAGTGATTTGTAGGAGATAATCAAAGGCATTCTGTTTTGTTCTATAATACAAAACTGCTTACCAAAAGTTTTAGCAGCTTGGATAGTTTCTCTGGATCCCCGAATTGTCATAATTTGGGCCAAAGCAGTTAAATCATCACTTGCTTTATAAAATGGGTATCGTCCACTAAGCAAAGAAAGAAATATGACACCTGCAGACCACATGTCAATTGCTGCAATAGAAGACAAATTTTAAAAATAAATTTCAAGTCTATAATTTTATCATCTAAATCAATAGTCCTCAACATTTACTATGCATTAGAATCACCTTGGGAGCCTTAAAAAATTCAGATGCCCAGACCCAGAGATTTTGATTGAACAGTTCCAAAGTAGGGCTCAGGCATCAATGTTTTAAAAAAAGTTCCTCAGGTGATTTTAATGTACAACCAGGACTGAGAATCCTCACTGCAAAATATGTTTCTTTCTTAAGAAACATGTTGGTAAATTTAAAAGGATACTTAATCATTAGGAAACAATAACTAAATGAACATTTTATAGGATCAAAAGGAATCCAAAAACAGCTAAGAGGGAAAAAAATCTGAATGATCCTTGAGAATTACATACCATACTGGTCAAAATGCTTTCATTTTAGTGAAAAGTAATGAACATTAGAAGCTCTTCTTCAGCTGACACTAGCACCAACTGCTGCTATAGAAACCTTTAAAAAAGTATTTTATTTTTATTTTTTTGTGGCTGTAAAAACTTTAATTTTTCTGAGTACACAGTAGGTATATATATTGATGAAGTATATAAGATGTTTTGATACACGCATGCCATGTGTAATAATCACATCCTGGAAAATAGGGTATCCATTCCCTCAAGCATTTATCCTTTGTGTTACAAACAATCCAATTAAATTCTTTTCTTTTTTTTTTTTGAGACAAGGTCTCGCTATGTGGCCCAGGCTAGAGTGCAGTGGCACAGTCTCAGCTCACAGCAACCTCTGCCTCCCAGATTCAAGCAATTCTCATGCTTCAGCCTCCTGAGTAGCTGGGATCACAGGCGTGTCACCATGCCCAGCTTTTTTTTTTTTTTTTTTTTGTATTTTTAGTAGAGATGGGATTTTGCCACATTGGTCAGGTTGGTTTCAAGCTCCTGGGCTCAAGTGATCTGCCTGCCTCAGCCTCCCAAAGTACTCTTTTAGTTATTTTAAAATGTACAATTAAATTATTGACTATAGTCTCCCCGTTGTGCTATCAAATACTAGGTCTTATTCATTATTTTTTTTTCCGAGATGGGGTCTGGCTCTGTTGCCCAGGCTAGAGTGTGGTGGTGTGATCTCGGCTCACTGCAACCGCCGCCTCCCAGGCTCAAGTGATCCTCCCACCTCAGCCTCCTGAGTAGCTGGGTACACGGGTGCACACTACCACACCCAGCTACTTTTTTGTATTTTTGGTAGAAATAGGGTTCTACCATGTTGCCCAAGCTGGTCTCCAGCTCCTAAGCTCAAGCAATCCACCCGCCTTAGCCTCCCAAAATGCTGGATTATTCATTTATAACTATTTTTTGTACCCATTAGCAGTCCCCATGTCCCCCACACCCTCCCACTACCCTTCTCAGCCTCTGGTAACCATCTTTCCACTCTCTATGGGTTCAATTGTTTTGATTTTTAGATCCCACAAATAAGTGAGAACATGTAATGCTTGTTTTTCAGTGCCTGGCTTATTTCACTTGACATAATGATCTCCAGTTCCATCCATGTTGTTGCAAATGACAAGATCTTCTTTTTCATGGCTGAACAGTACTCCATTGTGTGTAAGTACCACATTTTCTTTATCCATTCATCTGTTGATGGACACTTAGGTCGCTTCCAAATTTTGACTATTATGAATAGTGCTTCAACAAACATGGGAGTGCAGATACCTCTTTGGTACACTGATTTTCTTTCTTTTGGGTATATACCTAGCAGTGGGATTGTTGGATCATGTAGTAGCTCTATTTTTAGTTTTTTGAGGAACGTCCAAATTGTTTTCCATAGTGGTTGTACTAATTTACATTCCCACTATAGAAACTTTAATCTTCTTAATTCTGGCTGTTAAAGATTACGACCAGCTCAACTTGATGTTAAAAAGCTTTTTTTTTTTTTTTTTTTGGAGACGGAGTCTCGCTCTGTCGCCCAGGCTGGAGTGCAGTGACCGGATCTCGGCTCACTGCAAGCTCCACCTCCCAGGTTCACGCCATTCTCCTGCCTCAGCCTCCGGAGTAGCTGGGACTACAGGCGCCCACCACCGTGCCCGGCTAGTTTTTTTGTATTTTTTTAGTAGAGACGGGGTTTCACCGTGTTAGCCAGGATGGTCTCGATCTCCTGACCTCGTGATCCGCCCGTTTTTTTTTTTTTTTTAAAGGGATATCTCTCCTAATTGTTGACCTCCTAGTATCACCAGGTTATTTGCTCTGTTCCTTCGGCTACTGTATCACTTTTTTTTTTTTTTTTGAGAGGGAGTCTCTGTTGCTCAGGCTGGAGTCCAATGGCACAATCTCGGCTCACTGTAACCTCTGTCTCCTGGGTTCAATTCTCCTGCCTCAGCCTCCGCAGTAGCTGGAACTACAGGCACGCACCACCATGCCCAGCTAATTTTTTGTACTTTTTAGTAGAGACGGGGTTTCACCATATTGGCCAGGCTGGTCTCAAACTCCTGACCTAGTGATCTGCCTGCCTTGGCCTCCCAAAGTGCTGGTATTACAGGCGTGGTGAGCCACTGTGCCCAGCCCTACATGCCTTTCTTAGCTCCTTTGGTACCTCTGCCTGCTCCTTCAATGTTTTCTCCAAGCCTTAAGTGCTGACTAATGTTCCTCAGAGTTTTAACTTCTCCCTCTGTATACTCTCCCTGATTGGTCCATCCACTTCATGGTTTCAACTGTCATTTATATAATGATGACATTCAACTGCATTTCTAGCCCAGCTCCTTCGCTGAGCATCAGACTTAACTTTGATTCTGTTGGATATCTCTATTTGGATGTCCCACAAATACCTCAAACCAATTATACCCAAAACCAACCTTACTTTCCCATATAAACCAGTTACTTCTCCTTTACTCTCCACCTTGGTTACTGGTACACATCCAAGTCTCCCAAGCTAGGACTCTGGTAAATATCCTGAATGCCCTTTTCCCTCACCACACCACACCCAAATACTACATCCAATTATCCACCAAGCTCTGCCTTTTCCAACCCTTCACTTTTCTTTTTATTCCTATTACTAATACCCTCATTCACATTTTCATCCTCTCAACTGGAAAAATTCATGCCACCACTCTCCAAAAGCTAAACTGTTTGAACGCCTGCCAGAATGATCCATCTAGAATATACCATTGCCACTTCTTTTGCTTGATTATATGTATAGTATATAGTCCAAACTGTAACAACTGTGGTCTGACCTTGTCTACCTCATTCCAGGTTTATTTCTCACCATTCCTCAACTTGCATCTTAATATTCTAGCAACATTAGACTTTTTTCTTTTTTTCCGAGATGAAGTCTTGCCCTGTCGCCCAGGTTGGAGTGCAATGGTGTGATCTCAGCTCACTGCAACTTCCGCCTCCTGGGTTCAAGTGATTCTCTTGCCTCGGCCTCCCGAGTAGCTGGGATTACAGGTGCACACCACCACACCCAGCTGATTTTTGTATTTTTAGTAGAGATGGGGTTTCACCATGTTGGCCAGGCTGGTTTCAAACTCCTGACCTCAGGTGATCCGCCCATCTCAGCCTCCGAAAGTGCTGGGATTGCCGGTGTGAGCCACTGCGCCCAGCCAAAATGAAACTTTTTTAGTTTTCTGTATGCTGTTTCTTGAGTTCCTTGGCTCATGCCTCTATGCTAACCTCCCAGCCCAATTTACATTCTAAGAGGTCACTTCTTTCATGAATTGCCTTTCATAATCTTTTTGGGTTAGGATAGTTAGATACTCCTTAAATACCTTGTATAAGTTTTACTACCATACTCAACAGGTTATTTTATAATTATTTGATAGTGTGTCCTGATTAGAGTGTGAACAGATGGTCTTATTTATTTATTTACTTTATCATTAGCAAGCAAGAACAGACATTCAATGAATGAACGCATTTCTTCAAAGCCCATAATCCAAGCGAACAGCAGGATCCATCTATTCATTCAAGATGTTTCCTGAATTCCAGCTCCATGGTAACTTTTTAGATTATGGAAGACGTTTTTCTTTTTCAAAACCTTCTAACTGCTATTATATTGTTTATATAACAAAAATAATTTTAATCAAACACAATTATATCTACATCACAGGAAACTTTTGAGGTATTAAGCAAGCAAATAAAATGCTTTAAGTCTTTGGTTGGCAAAAACTATTAAACATAATTTTTTTCCCCCATAAAGCTGATGTCAACAAAATTCTATAGATTACATTTTGCGTATTTATTTACAAGATGATCTTACCATCTTGTAAATAAATACGGAAAATGTAATCTATGGAATAAACTGTTTAAAAAAAAAAAGAGAGGCAACATTAGGATTAAAAACTTTCATAAAGAATAGCATTAGCTCAAAAATAGGAATGCCACACTGCTAGAACTGCTTACATAACTTAAATAAAAGCAGAAGAGCTCAAATATTAGTTATAAATAGACAAAGATCATAAAATAAAATACATCTGGGACAATCCATTTTAATTGGGTTCTGTATTTCCAGTAAAACATACCTGTAGTTTGATTGGGGCACTTTGTCAAGACTTCTGGTGCTCTGAATCCTGGTGTACCTGCCCTAGGGGCAACCTGCTGACGCCTTATGATGAAATAAGATTTCTCTAGTTACGTTAAAGTTGAACTATGTAAGTCTAAAAGATAACATTCATCAATTTAGTTCACAGTAAATTTTGCCTCGATACCTATATAGTAAGTGTTACTATGAAGTAAATGATAATCTAGTGGGATAAAAAGCCTCGATTTTTCTTCTACTGGTTTTTACCCCCTCTACTAGTTCCCCAGATTTACTCCAGAAAGGTTTTTTTTTTTTTTTTTTTTTTGAGACGGAGTCTCGCTCTGTCACCCAGGCTGGAGTGCAGTGGCCGGATCTCAGCTCACTGCAAGCTCCGCCTCCCGGGTTTACGCCATTCTCCGGCCTCAGCCTCCCGAGTAGCTGGGACTACAGGCGCCCGCCACCTCGCCCGGCTAGTTTTTTGTATTTCTTAATAGAGACGGGGTTTCACCGTGTTAGCCAGGATGGTCTCGATCTCCTGACCTCGTGATCCGCCCGTCTCGGCCTCCCAAAGTGCTGGGATTACAGGCTTGAGCCACCGCGCCCGGCCAGAAAGGTTTTAAAATAACCTCCAAGAAGAAAAAGCAGTAGTGGATAATAAGAGCCACAGTAGAAAAATAGAACCCAATAGCAATTCACAGGTATAAAAATTCATTTCTGTTTGGAGTAATTGATCACAGATACACTTATATATTTGAGTTAATCAGGAAAGGCTTTATGAAAGCCAAGTCTTGAAGGAAAGGGAGAAATTTATGAATCAAAGAGTTGGAGGTGGGAGTAAGAGAGGAGCTCTTACTGTTTGGTTCTGGTTACTCCACATAAATGGGAATAAAAAGAGAAAACAGAAAAGATTACATCAGCAAGCAAAATGTGTGATTCGAAGCTTCTAAAAGCCACCCCATCCTACTTATTTGCATATAAGAACAAATGTGTTTTCCAGAGTATATCCGTGTTAAATAAATAATATATGAAAACTGTTATCATTTGCTCTTCAAGGTACTACTGCTGTGCATCAAGGCCCACTGCAGTTCACTGATCTGTATTGATCCCTTGCACTCACAAAATTATCCACCCAAATCAATGCAATTTCTAATGGCAGCATGCTGGTGATTTTATAACACCATCAAAACACATTACCTTGAAAGGCAAATACTACAAACTTTATCTGTTGCATAGCAGTCACAGGTCAGGCTAGTTGGGCAAGAACTGGCAGTTTTCCTCATTACACCACTATTCATAACTTTTGCAGAAATAGTCTTCTTTTTTGTTGCTAACTTTCTAGACAGTACATCCACAGTCTTTGACTGCTTCATGAGCTGTAAAAGAAAAGTCTTATTTTTCTATTTTCATGACATTTAACATGATGTCCTAAAATGCTAGTATGGCAAAAAGCAATAGCGGAAGCATAGCTTTAAGAACTGCTGAATGGCTATTGGACGGTAAATAAACAGTTGTCTATTAAAATGTTTAAGGTCTTCTTGGGTTTTTCTGCAAAGTCGCCTTATATTAAAATTTACTCATTAGTCCTAGCTTGGCCAATATTTGACTTATACTTTATTAGAACTTTTCCTGATACAAGTATAAAACAGTTATGTTCTAGTGTCTAACTCCATTTCAGAACTGTAAACTGCACAAGTACATTGGCTAAAATCACAGTTTTAATTTGTTGCTCATGCTGTCTAGCTGTCACAAGATATCCTAAGTCAATCTGAAATCATCTACGTTGATGATGATTTTGTTAACTTTACAAACATCTTTACACTATCAACTATGTGTCAGAACAGTTAGCTAGCTGTATGGAGCTCACACTCTAGCAATGACAGAAAAGCCCTTAACGTTCTTCCTCTAGAGAAAGAGCAGTAATAGTCAGCTAACCAAAAATGAGAAAAAATTCCACCAGAAAAGTTCAGAAAAAAACTGGAGAAAACAAGTTTTGACTAAATGCTCAAAGCAGTAATACCTTCTGCCAAAGCCAAACTCTACTTTAAAAAAAGTTCTGATAATAAATGTTAATCTAGTTATTACCTAAATTCTCTTCAGTGTATGACTGACTGACCATTATGCTATTAAGCTACATTACTTACTTTCACTGCAGGGCTCTCATGTGAAATGGAGCTGTGTATATTGAAATTTCTTTCTCCAAAAACAGAGCGCTGGACAGAAAGGCCTACAGATCCCTCCTACAATACCAACAAAAACAAGGAAAATAAGGATTATATCTGTAACACTTTCTGCCAGCTGTACTCTGCCATAGTTTTGAAAGAGTTAAGTGAGATGAAACAAAAACAGCTGCATCCAAGTCATTCTCAGGCACCAAACCACTTCTGTGAAAGGAGAAAATAGTCTAGACAGAATTCAACACCCATACAATGTTATCATAGTCCACAAATATATGTAACTAAAAAAATTCAAAAACCACCTGCATGGATGTTACATTTTGCTGTGCAGCTAAAATGGAGATAGACACTTCAGAATTCCTCCCCTATAACTAATGCTTTCTTTTAAAAAGGATAATCTGAACTTTTTAACATGCAGGGAAAATGTAATATTTTCCATTTTTGTCATAAAATATGATTTCATAATAGGTAATGACAAACGTTATAAACGGACAATGTAAATTTTAGTTTTAAAATAGTAACCAAAATGATTCAGTACAAATCTTAGTGAAAAGTTAATCAACTGAATACATATAACAAATGTAAAAAAACTTTTTTAAATTACAAGTACTATCCTAGTATTGTATTTCCCTCTGTTGGCTGAAGGAGTACATTTCTAAAACAGTGTCAGTACTTAAGAAATAAAAGAGAGAGAACCTTTCCATCTTTTCCTTGTTTAATCTGAATTTGTGCATTTGTGTAGGGTCTTTTAACAGAAGCTTTTGTGGTGGACTGCTGATCCAGCTCCTTAGGTACTGGGCCACTCAATGGAATCTTGTTTCCTGTGATTATGTGGGATTTGTTTTGTGAACACCTTTCCTGCTGAGCTTCAGACTGGACAAATTTGAGAAGCTCTATTTTCGTGTCATGGGTTCCTTGGGCCAAACCAAAGTCTACCAAGGCATACCTAAGAGACAAAATTAAGCATTTTTACTTATCTGTAACAATTAAAGCTTAGTAACATTGTAATACTCTCAAACCATCCTCATAAAAACTGTAATTCTTTTTGGGATCAATTAGGAATTTATAACATTCTGCTGTTTTTTTTTTGGCGGGGGGGGGGGGATTTATAGCATTCTGGAAAAGAAAAAAACCCTAAGTTTTCCAGACAAAGTAAGAATTTAACAGCTAACTCGGATTGCAAATTAAGAGGTGTCCCACAATCAATCAAATGTTCTCTTTTTCCAGTGGTCTGGGTTCATAAGGCAGAAGAGGAATACATAACATAAACACAATCCTTTGTTCTTTGATGGTGGCAGAGATGGCATCATAGCAGATAATTTCTAGTTAAGCAAGTTTAAAAAATTAAAATCATGGTTTTAAAATCTGATCCAATTAAAGAAAATTTAAGTCAGGGGTATAAAAGCTCAAAAAAGAAGTTATAATCTTACTATGTTCAATACGATCCATTATATAGAGGTATTTATGTTATTTTCAGCTTATAATTATAATCAGCATTAAAAAGTATACATAAAAATAAAACTTTCATGTTAAAACAGGAAATTGGCTATCATGTGGTCCAAAGAAAAATGAAGTCCAGAGTAACAGACATATCTAAGGTCAAAAATTATTAGACTCTAAGTCTGTTAGTTCAGGCTATTTCCACTGAATCATGGTATATCTAATAATGTACACTGTTCCACGAATACAATTTTATCTTCTTCTTCACCACAGTTCCCTTCCCAATCACAAAGAAACTGAAACAGAAATAATCTGTGCATGGCTGTTGCAGTATGTTCTATCTAAGAGATATAGGTCAGAGGATACAAAGTAGCAGTTATGTAGGATAAATAAATCTAGACCTAACACACACTCTGAAGATTACAGGTAATAAAACTGTATTGTATATGGGATTCATGCTAAATGAGTAAATTTTAGCTGCTCTTGCCATAAAAACAAAAATAAAATGGTTAACCGAAATATTTGCTTCACAATAGTAACCTTTTTACTATCTATGTATGTTATAACATCATGTTCAATACCTTAAATATAGACAACAAAATTGTTTTTTAAAAGAGAAATAGGGTAAATATTTTCTAGTAACTCTTCATACTTACTTTTTCAAGCGCCTATTATATAAAAAATTGCTGGGCTTAACATCACGGTGAACAATACCAAACTGATGGATGCGTTTCAAAGCTTTGAACAGATTAAACATATATTCCCGTACTTCTTGAAAGGAAAGAGAATTCAAAATGTCCTAAAATAAAGTTATGAATGAAATGAGTTACAAATATTGTTTGCAATGAAATATTCAGCTAATAAAAATTCAAGAAATATTAAAACCTACCAAAAACGACTCATGCTCCAGATACGGCATAGCAATAACTACATGATCATTCTTCCTAAAGCAGTATTTAACTCCCATGACATTATCTTGCCCCCTAGTGGAAAAATGCACAACGAACTTTTAGAGGAAAGGTCAGAGGGACTGAAACTTTATGTCTAATTTTAAAAACCGCAATTTTAGCAATGCATACATGTTGCTGAAAACTGACTTAAAATCATCATCACATAATATAAACATAAGTGACTTGTGTTCTTGTGTTAAAGTTTTCTTTTAAAACAAAAACAGCACCAGTTTTGACATTACTATAATAATTCCAACGAGGTAATTATAGTTGTAACTGGGGAAGTGGCAGAGAGAGAAAAAAGGGAAAAAATTAATAAGACTTAGCAGATAAGATGGTAACAGTAATAAATAAATTAGGGTCACTAAACTAATAGATCATACAGCCAGGATTTGAACCCAGGCATTTTGCTCCAGACATATGCTCTTAATCACTATGCTACACTGCTTCATAAAAGAGTAAAATAGGACAAAGGTGATTTCTATGATTTTGAGCCTGAGTAAGAAAACAATAGAGATATCAAAACATAAGTAAAGCCAGTAAAAGCAGCAGCTAAAACCAGACCTCATCATTTTGATAGAGCTATCTAGATAAGGGACTAAACCTTAAGTAAGACAAGTGAGAAGTCAGTGAGAGTACTTGCAGAGAAGTGATACCTAGAGACATGAAAATTAATAGTGAGAAAAGAAAACTAAGCTTGGAAGAAGTCAAGTTAGAGAGCCAAATAGGAAAGGAATTTTGAAGGAGGAGTTATTAGCATGGAAGTCAAAGAGAATAACAACTGAGGGGAGGCTTTTAGTTTGGCAAAGAATAATTAACTGGTAATTTTTAAGACAGCAATTTAAGTGGAAAGGAAGAAACAAAACAGAAGAAAGGAAAATAAAACACAATGGAAGCTGAGCCTAAAGACAATTTGCCTGACTGCATTGTAAGATCAGATGAAGGCATTTTTAGCATGTACCTTTTTAAGCACAGAAAAAGAAAAAGTGGTAGAGGGAGACAGTTAAAGTATAGAAAAAGGAATGATCACATTTACGGTACAAGAACGTATGCAAGCGTTCTTTACAGAGGCCATCTCATTTTCTTGTCTTCTATAGTACACAGAGGGCTGAAACAAACAGGCTTACTTATTCATTCATTCAATATTTAGTGGGCACTGTTATTTGCTGTTAGGGATTACAGACATTAGTAATGCAACAGTGAATAAAATTTACAGAATTTCTGTCCTCATGGAGTTTACTACCTAGTGGACAATACAGATAATAACAAGGTAACTTATAATGACAGATTATGGTAAGGGCTTTGAAAGAAATCAAAAGATGCTATGACAATTAGAAGAAAATAGGAGAATCTAATTTAATTCAGAGAAGACATCTTTTAAGCAGTGTCACTCTTTTTTTTTCCTTAGAGACAGGGTCTTGTTTTGCTGACCATGCTGGATGGAGTGCAGTGGAGCGATCGCAGGTCATTACAGCCTCAAACTCCTGGGCTCAAATGATCCTCCTACCTCAGTCTCCCAAGTAGCTGGGACTACAGATGTGTGCCACCCTGCCTGCCCAATTTTTAAGTTTTTTGTAAAGATGGGGTCTTGCTATGTTGCCCAGGCAGGTCTCAAACTCCTGGCCTCAAGCAATCCTCCCAAAGTGCTGGGATTACAAGTATGAACTCCTGTGTCCAGTTTCACTCTTGCTCAGATCAGAAGATAAAGGGTCAGCAGGCAATGACTGGGAGAGGCCTTCCTGAATGGGCAAACAGTCTGGGCAGTGGCCCTGAGGTAAGAAGGCTCTTGAGACAAATTCGATAAACTAAAGAAATGGAGTACAGTGAAGGAGGTGGGAAGACAGGCATGAGAAGGTTGAATTTTTTTTCAAAGTACAAAGGGAAACCATTGAAAGATTTTAAGTGGGGGAACTAATGACCCAATTTAAGTTATATACATATATATTTTATATTTTAAAGATCATTCTGGCTGCTGTGTGAAGACAGAATGAAGGGGAGAAAGACGCAGCAGGCTACAGTTATAGTCTAGGCTTCAGCTGAGGTAGTGGCAGAGAAGATAGACATGGATGAACTTCTAGATATATTTTAGAGGCAAAATGGCTAGGACTTAGTGATTAATGTGGTTTAGGAGAGAAACAGAAAATGAGGATGATTTCTAGGTTTCTGGCCCGAACAAGTGCGTAGATGGGCCATTTGCAGAGATGGGTAGATAAGAACATTTGTTGTGGTGGGGTTATTTTTGGCATGTTAAGGTTTAGTTTTGGCATATTAGGTTTGAGATATTTATCAGGCACCAAATGGAAATGTTAAATAGGCAAGTGGATATATACAAACCTGTAGTTACGATAAAAGGTCTGAGATTAACTATATACTTGTGGGAATCATTACTTTAGATCATGTGGAAATGGAGGACACTAAGGAGAATACAGAGAAACCCAAGAGCAAGCATGAGGAACTCCAACATTTAGGGGTCAGATAGAAGTGGAAGAGCTGGCAAAGACACAAAATGAAAGGCCAAATGAGGGAAGAAGAAAACAACGAGGGTGTGGCAGTACAGAAGTCAAGATAAGGGTTCAAGTCAATTGTGCTAAATGATGCCTAGAGTAATGGCTGACTCTATAGTTTCCAGTTTAGAGGAGAACAGCCGCAGTGAGTATTTAGTGAAAGGGAGGTGTGAAATGAGAACAATGTATGCAGATAATTGTTGAGAAGTCTGGCTGTTAAGGAGGGAACAAAGAAATGATGGAGCAGGTGGAAGAAGGAGGGCAGTTTAGGAGGATAAGATACTAAATCATGTCCTTATGTTGACAGAAATGACCCAGCAGAGAGAAACCATACCAGATGATTCCATTATTCTAAATAAAATATTAGATGAGGTCGTCAATAGCTGGGGAAATGTGAAATGTGAGTTCCCTACATTTACAAAATAATGTAAACCATGAAAGCCAAGGTTTATGATTTGGCAGGAAGGTTACAAAAAGCAGTGATAAAAGACAGGAAATCAAGCCGAGCCTCAAGGGAAATCCAATCTAAAAGAATTACTATAAATTTAACTAACTATTGCAAGGTTAGAAGGAAAGTGCTAGCAAATTGCAAACACTTGACTGAAAAATGTATTTAATTCACATACAATCTCCTCATCCCTGCTAAGCATCTACTTTAAAATCTTATAAATTATATACAAGTTCAATTAAAATATGTTTAAATTGCCTACCCAGCCACTGTTAGGCACTGAAGTTCAGCTGCAATTCTTACAGGATGACTTGTTGGAATCAAGTGTTTTAGAGCAATTTTCTCTTCAGGTCCTACTTGTAACTGTGCTGTGGCCAAATAAACAGAGCTGAAAGTGCCTGTAAAACAATGTATTAAATTTTTCAATATCAGGGTTTTTAAAAATGTTAATGAAACAATTCTAAAATAGATTGTAAAAACTGTTTCAATGGCATAATAGATTAAAACAGGATTTCATTTTACTGTAAATATTTATTATTTATTCTTTCTTTGAGGTTGAAAAAGAAAAGCTGCTACCATAATTAGTAATAAAACTACGGTCTTAATAGTCTAAAAAGTGGTATATTTTTCAATAAGAAGTAGTAATGAAAAGCAAGATTACAAAAGGAAAACAGGAGGGAAAAAAGACCTTGTAAAAATAGTAAAGCATATCCCCAAATTACCTTCTCCAATTTTGTCCTTAATCTTAAACACATTCCCAAGCTGTGGTACAGCTTCATAAAGCTTCTCAATATCTTTTTTAACACCTTTCAAGGAAACAAAAATTTAGACTTTTAATCAATGACAGTATATTTTATAGTTTCTTAAAATTTAAAAAGCTAAATGAAATTATAAAACATAATTAATTATACATAAAAGTTTCAATAAAACTTGTAAGATTAAAACCCTATCAAGTTGCTGTAACTCACACACACCTCTTGAACAGGCAAAAATGACAGTCCCATAATTAAATACACCAAATTTCTACTATACTGGAATTATATACTAATAGATACATTGTTACTGTATAGATTACAACATGAAAAACCACCAAATTTTTAAAATGACTAAACAATTTGTGCTGTGATCACTAGATGGCATGACAAGGACACATTGCAATGTTCTTGAAAACTATTTCCCGTAAAGATACAACATCTTAAAGGCTTGGTAAAATTTTACGTATTGAATATTCACCCTATATTTTCAGAGAGAAGGCCTACTAAAGCTCTCAAGCATGTAAAAACATATTTTTAAAAATTTGTCCCAATTGCCAGTAGTACTCTCTATCCTTGACTACAGATAAATTGCTACTTTTAAATAAATATCAGTTCTTTATAAAAATGTACATAATTAAAACAAGGGAACACAATAATACAAAACCCAGTAAACTACTGGATACAGAAGATAACTAGGTAAGACTCTTCAGATTTTATTACAGCATCTAGGCTCTACTAGCCCTATGTAGCATAAGTTTAAGACATTTTCAAAGCACTTGCACATGCCTTATCTTTTCAGATCTTCCTAACAGTACTGTGATCTTGGCAGAACAGGAATTATTATCCTGATTTTTCAGATAAGGAAACTCAATTCAGGGAGGTTAAATCATTTGCCCAGTTTCACAGAGGTGTTGCTGATGTCTACAGAACTTATTCCTTTATTTTAATTATACATATATTTTCTAATTTTCTTTCTTTTCTTGAGATGGAGTCTCACTCTGTTGCCCAGGCTGGAGTGCAGTGATGTAATCTCCAATCACTACAATCTCTGCCTCCCGGGTTCAAGAGAGTGAGCAGCTGTAATTACAGGCATGCACCACCATGCCCGGCTAATTTTTGTATTTTTAGTAGAGACGGGGTTTCACCACATTGGCCAGGCTGGTCTCGAACTCCTGATCTCAAGTGATCTGCCCACCTTGGCCTCCCAAAGTGCTGGGATTATAGGCATGAGCCACCACACCTGGCTAGAACTAATTCATTTAAATAAATACTGTTTTAAAAAATGCTCAGCAATGGGCATGTAAAAAAAAAAACTAATAAATGTGGTACAGCCACTAGGAGCTTGGTCTAGTAGAGGAAACATGTTATCATTCTTAATACAAGGTGATACCTGTAATAAAAGAATGCATATACTACTAGGTTGCGGAGGATTTCCGAAGGTGATAGGAAGCCTTCAGTTGATGGCTAAGTTTTGTTCTGAAGCATTCACCAAGTAGTGAAAGTCGAATACAACACTTTAGGAAAAATTAACTATGTCTGTAAAGACAGTAACAAGAAAAAAAAAAAAACAACAAAAAACAAAAAAGGCTTGGATGATTAGGGCAGGGGGAGGGCTGAGAGACAACGAAATACAATGTGGCCTGGGGTGGTGGCTCAGGCCTGTAATCCTAGCACTTTAGGAGACCAAGGCAAGAAGATTGCTTGAGGCCAGGTGTTTGAGACCCCATCTCTTAAAAAAGTTAAAAACCAACCAAACAAACAAAAAATTAGCTGGCCTTTGTAACACAGGCCTGTAGTCTCAGCTACAGAGACTGAGGCAGGATACCCTGAGCCCAGGAGCTTGAGGTTACTAAACTATGATCATGCCACTGTACTCCAGCCTGGGCGATAGAAGAGGGAGACCCTGTCTCAATAATAATAATATTAATAAAAGAAATAGAATGTGGCTAAGGAAGAGAAGAGAGAATGCACATGAAAGCTACAGAAAGTTTTTAAGAAGAAAAATGACAAGTGGAGAACAGATGTGAAGGGGAGGAGAAACATTAAGGGTGCTTCCACACCACTACTCACTTACTATGTACCTACTCCTCTTTACAAAACTCAAAATGTTTATTAAGGTTTCCTGTCACTTCAGAACAACTTCAACAATTTTAAACAACAGTAAAACTTCCTGGCAACCAAAGTGAATGCAATATCTTCAAATTCTGAAGTGGGAAACGAGAGCAGAAAGCAGAAAAGTACATTCATGTCAAAAGCTGGAAAACAGTACTAAAGACAGACAAATGAAATAGACTTGAGGATTGGAGGAGGACCCTGAAAAGTCTATTATAATATGCTAAAAATTATTTAAATGCCTCTATTTTATACATGAAGGTCTAGGTTTCTATTTTGACATTTTAAGTAACTTCGTTTTCTGCTACATACTATATCCAAGTTGGTTTTAATATATCAATACTCTCCTTAACTACACTCCTTGCCAGCCTGTAGTCTATCGGTAATGCAGCAGTCAGTCAGCTTGCAACATAGCAAACAGTTTAAACAGAGTATTCTGATAAAGCTAAGTCACCTTGTCACGATTTTGCTCAAAATCTTAATGGTTTCCACATCTCACTCCATTAGAAAGTCTCTTTACATGTCTCTTTGACTTCACTCCAATTACCTTCCCCATTCTAGCCACAATGACCTCCTTGCTATTCTTGAATGCTAGGCACACTCCCATCTCAGGGTCTTTGTACTTGCTGTTTCCTCTGTTTGGAATGCTCTTCCCCAAATATCTGCACAGCTCACTCCTTCACCACCTTGAAGTCTTAGCTCAAATATTACAGAAGGCTATGACCAACTATACTTACTAAAATTACAATCTCCTTCCCCAATACTTCCTATCTCCCCTTCCCTTTTACATTTTCTTTGTAACACTAATCACTTTTGAACATTAGTATTTATTTCTTTTGTTTACTGTCTGTCTACTGTCTAACTATCAGGGTGTTCATTTCTGTTTTATGCTTTGATTTATCCCTAGCACCTAAAAAAGTGTCTGTATATAATAGACACTTTCTTTCTCACTTATTAAAACTTGGCATATCGTAAGATACTTAAAAAAAATAATAAAAGCTTACTGGCCAGGCATGGTGGCTCACACCTGTAATCGCAGTGCTTTGGGAGGCCAAGATGGGAGGATTGCTTGAGGTCAGGAGTTTGAGACCAGCCTGGGCAACATAGCAAGATCCTATCTCTAAAAAAACATTTAAAATTAGCTGGGTGTAGTGGCACATGCCAGTAATCCAAGCTACTCAGGAGGCTGAGGGGGTAGGATGGCTTGAGTGCAGGAGTTAAGCTGCAGTTAGCTGTAATTGCGCCACTGTACTCCAGCCTGGGTGACGGAGAGACTGTGTCTCAAAAAAAAAAAAAAAAAAAAAAAAGGCTTGCCAAATTAGTGAAAGAATAAACATTTGACCAATATTATGCCAGATAGTTTGTGCATTATAGCATTTTTCTTAATAGGAAAAAATAGAAACAATCTATAGGGTCAACAGTAAAAGGTGATTAAATATAATATACAATGGACCTTAAATCCAGTTGTAGAATATTTACTACATCAGCAATATTCAAGATATATATTAAACAAAAAATGGAGATCAGAAATAAGATCTCATACTCCGGTTCAGGCAATATTTCAATAATGCAAAAAGACTTTATTTTGGCTTTCTTTACTTCAAAACTTTCAATAATCATGTTTATCAGAAAAATGTTATAAAAAATCTTACAAATATCTCAAAATAAAGAGACATGCTATTCATCCATTACACTAAGTATTTTACTTTATATCCTTACATTAAATTATTCATTCAAATATTTTCAAGCACCTACTATGTGCTGGACACTGTTAAGCTCTGGGAATGCAAAGATATATAAAACATCCAATCAAAAATATAACTTCAATAAGGAGTAAAGCTGATAAGGTGCAGGGATATACCTGTCTTATGATCTAATTTGATTTACTTTCCCAATTAGATTACGAGACTGTTACGTGCCTGGACCTCATCAGCTTTACTCCCCATTGAAGTTATGTTTATATAATTTTAGCTGTTATTAAGGATCATATTTTAAAAAGAGCTGCAAGAGTAAAGTTTTAGCATGTTTTACAATTTATCGTATTATTTATAATGTCCAATATTCTGTTACATAAACGCTACAAAACTTTTGAAATCTGGAATAAAATTCACCCCATTCTTTACTTCCCAGCAGATTTTCAGAATATTAGAATAGTGGCATTCTCCTAAACAAGATGCCAGAACCAAGTCAGAGTCATCCATTCAGATACTCTGCTGAAGTCACAACATACTTCAGAAGCCAGAGGAGATACTGCCACCAAGGGGCTTACAGTGGAGACAAAATGCAGAATCCTAAGCGATAGAAAAAGAATACTACAATGACTGTGTTACTGTGTTATGTGTCCAATGACTAGTAAGGGAAAGATGAACTAAAAAAACAGCTAACTGCTGGAAAAATGGAAAGGAAGAGGAACAGTATCCACGAAACTGGATGAAAGTGGCATTTTAAGATTATTCTAGCACCAACGTACCAGATGAACTGAAGGATGGAAAAGTGCAAGCAGGCAGCATAGGTGAGAAACTGTTGTAAATCAGGAACAAAGTGTAAGGAAATGAATTAATGTGGTGGAAATGGGAATGGAAAGAAGACACAATGCCATACCTATTAAAAAGAAATAAAGCTAGGTGACGATATGGGGAACAAATAAAAAGCATCAGCTGAAGATTAAAGTTTCAAGTTTAGGTAACTGGGATAAATGACTTCCATCAAAGCAGAAAGTATGTGATGTCATATTTTTCTAGGGTGGGGTTATAAAGAATATATGGACAAAAGGTCAAAATAAGTATCTTTTGGACAAGCACAGAATTCACTTCAGACAAAGATGGAAAAGATCTGGCTACCCTTTCAGGAAAACAAATACAGTCAACTAGAATTCCTCTATTTAACAAATATTTATTATTAATAAATACCTACTATGTCCCAGGTCCTGTGCCAGAGCAGAAATGAAAGCACACATGCGAGTGTACAAAAGCACGCACTGCTTGACCCTGTCCTCTTCATCCCAAGGTCTGGTTTACGGCCAAACAACATTTCATGCTCTACACTGAGATATGGTGCTTTATTATTGCTACAAACATTTCATATTTTTTTCTCTGTGAGTTCTGCTTTTGAATACTTAAGTGATGATCTCTGTTGGAACCGAACTGTCGATTCCCTCCTGGGCAGGGGTCGCCGCGAAGGACCACCGACACGAGATTCACAGCAGAGAGTTATTTATTACTAGCGCACTAGGGTCCCAAGCTCTAAGTTGGCCCTGGGACCCCGAGTGCTTGTTACAGGTTGTTTATATAGGCAAACACAAGTTCAAACACAGCTTAAGGCGCGAAATTCAAACAAAGCTTTAGGCGCGTGGTAATTGGGTCTAGCTATGGCCTGAGCAAGGTGTCTTGTTCTAATTGGTTAGAGCAGGACCTTATGAGGTTTTTTTCTTGGAGTTGCTGATTCCGGGAACTTCGAGGCAGGGTGGGACCCCATGAGGTTGTTTCCCGGAATTGGCAGGGTGGGACCCTATCAGGGTGGGACCCTATCGAGGCAGGGTGGGACCCTATCCAGAGCCACCTGGTGTTAATTTTTTCTATATGAGGCCTAGTTTCTAAGTTTTATGAGGCCTAGTTTCAATCTCCAGTGTCAATTTCTAAATTTAAGCTTAAGGCAATGTGGTGAGTAGAGACAAGAACACAGGTAGAGAAGAGAAATTTAATTTGGGCATCATCAAATTTCTGCATTCTTAGTTACCAATATTGATGACCATAACAACTTCAACCGTAAAACGGGTTGTATTACAGTCTTCCAAATTGCAATTCAGTCCTACATTTAGATGATATGAAGCTCTGTTTTAAAACACTGTCCTATAGAAACACACAACTCACTTTAAGATTCAATCTACTTATTTTTTGAGAGCAACTGAAAACACAGAATTGTTGCCTGAAAAATCTCTGCAACTGTACATCTTTGGAATTAAACACATACCTGCAAGTTTAAAATTCTGCTCGTTTTTTTTTAGAGAGCCTTCAGCCTGAGACCGGTCACGCTGGGGAGAAAAAGCCATTGGCTCATCCATTTGAATCCCCAAAGACGCCTCCATCACAAGACAATTGGGATGCAAAATGCCAGCTAAGGGGTTACATCCACAGGGAAAGCAAAGCAGCTGTAAAAATTAGAACACTGGAGAAGTTTAGATCACTCGCTAAACCACGCACTAAAAACATGCCACTGCCCCCAAAGGGGCAAACATTTTCAAATGCACCATGTGTCCAAACCTCCACAGTAGGGCATACTGTGGCCTTTTCTAAGGAATTCCATGTGCTTTATTTTCACCTATCAGAAACGCCGGCAGGGGGCTGCAGGGAGAATTTCCCGGCTTGGGTACCCGCGCAGCAGCCGGCGCAGTGGGAAACGGCGAGGCGGCGAGGCTGCGAGTCCGGCGTAGCCTGCGAGACCGCGTGGGGGAGGGGCCGAGCGCCGGGGGCGGTTTGAAGTCAGGAAAAGGACAGAGGGAGAAAACCGTTTCGCCACTGACAGGGAGCGCCAGGAAGCTCGTCCAAGGCCCCACGCAAGTTGATGGAGAACTGATACGACCCTGGCTACGAGTACTGGGCGGAGGAGTAGATGGCTTAATGAATGGGAATCCTCCGACCAGCCCTGGCCGCGAGGTCAGCCGGAAAAGACCGGCTTCCCTCGGGCCAGAGACCGAACCAGATGCTTAGTACGCAGGCGCGCGACTTTCCCGCCGCAGGTCGGAGGGATCCGAAGGGGGGCGGGGAAAGGAACTGCACGGCGAGAAAACCGAAGTCACCATCCAGAATTCGTTCCTAATCCCTCACAATCCCGCGCCACGGAACAAACCGTCTGAAACTCACGGTTTAAGGGAGTACGACTTCTGGGGCTCCCCAGATGCCTGGGTCGCCGTCTCCAAGAGCTCCCCACCTACCGAGTGGATCGGATGCGCCTGCGCAACACTTCCCGCCGCAGCTCTCGTTGCACATGCGCACACTAAAGCCCTCGACCCAGCGGATTCCGCTACTGGGCGCTTGCGCAAGAGGGTGGGGTTTCTTCCCGCCCCCTTGGCCAGCTGGAAGAGCGGTTACGGGAATGAAACCCCGGGATGATCTTAAAAAACAGGGTGAACCATAAGGCTAAGGGCCCAACATGATTTCCAGGAAAGAAACTAGCTCAGAGAAGGAAACACCTCAGGTGCTGACACATCCCTATATACCGTGGCCGCACAACACTTGGGTACTCCATGGATAGAAGGCACTTTCTTGACTCTGCTTTTATTTCCTTTTCATTGAGTGCCCTACTTTCCGTTAAAAACAAGCAGAAAATGCTGATTATTTGTGACTGTGTTAGTAGAAATTAGCACAGTGGCAGGAAGGCAGTGTGTACTGTTTACTGAGTCCTTGGCTCTGAGGTAGGCGGATTTCTAGGGGCTGAAATCATAGTGAGCAAGACAAACACCATCCCTGTAGGAAGCTAAATTCCAATGAAGCGATGACAATAACGGATGAATACATGAACAGTATTCTTTCCGGTATTGATTACTACTTGAAGGAAATAAAATGAAAAGATGTGATAGTGCCTAGAAAGGTGGCATCTAGATGGTCAGGGAAGCCCTCTCAAAGAGACCTGGATGAGAAAGAGCTGGCAGGGAGACTATTGTTCTGGCAAAGAAAGGACAGGGCAAATGCAGAGAGAAAGGAACTTGATATGTTGCAGGGGCAGGGCAGGAAAGGCCAGTGTGAGGGAAGCATAGTGAGTGAGCGGCAAGATAGTCCCAGATAGATGAGGGTGGAGAGTTAGGCAGAAGCCAGACCGTGGTCCTTGAAAGCCAGGGTAAGAAGTTTGGCTTTTATTTTGAGTACAATAGGAAGCTATTTGAAAGTTTTAAAGCAAGGGAGTGATACGATCTATGTGTTATGAAGAGAATGGATTATAGAGGGGCAAATGTGGAAGCAGAGGAAATAGGATGCACTTCATGTTTAGGAGAAAGATAATGGTAGTTTGGACCAGAACAATGGCGGAAGAAATAAAAGAAAGAAGACAATGGGATTTGGTGATTGGCTGTGGAAAATTAAGAAAAGGGCATCATCAAGAGTGAATCTTAGGTTTTGGGGCTAGCATATGTGTGGGTGGTAGTGCCACATAGAAGGGAAGTCTGTGAGGTAATGGGTTTTGATTGAGTGAGGTGGAAGAGAGTAAATCAAGAATTCTAGTGTGGATACTGAGAAAGAGAAAAGCAGACCGTGACATCCAGGAGATGGCCTGGTACTACCAGCTTGGCTTGCCGTTGCTTTGAGCTGGCCTGGCAATCAAAGCTAAGCATTTTTATTCTTCTGTTGAACATAAACAATTTCACAGAACATCAAGACAAGACAGAGTTTGACCATGATAGATCAAGACAAAAGTAAGATCACTCTGTAATCATACCTGAACATAGACAAAACATCAACATTGCCCAAGCCATACAAATGATCAAATATCTCCTTATCCTGGCTAATACGAGCGCCTGCTGCTTCTTTACCAATTATAGTTTTAGCCTCAGTCTAGCCTTCCTTCCTTCTACATAATACTTACTAAAATACCCAATTATAGAATTATCCTTGCTTCCTTACAGCTTCCAATCCAGACCAAAGTCCCTCTTTCTTGAACCCTTCCATAAATCTCCTAACACAAACTCAAATTCTATAACAAGTCCTTTTTAACACCCTCTTCCTAAGACATCCCATGGTTCCCCATGGTGTGCATTCTCATGTACTGAAACAAGCAATAAATCCGAGTTGCTCAGCTGTAGTTGTGTTCCTGGTGGTCATTGTCTGGAGGACGTTTACAATAATCAAGTTCAAGATATGCAACTGATGATGTCAAAGAAACAGATGAATATATTGGTCTGGGGTATAGTTCAGGGTGAAGAAATAAACTTGGCAGTTATGAATTTATAGATGAAACTTAGTCTTGGACTATACAATATTATCTAAGCAAAGATTGTAGATAGAGAGTTGGGCTATGATAACTTCCAACATTTCATAGTTGAGCAGAGGAGGAGGAAGAACCAGCAAGAGACTGAGAAGTAGTAGTCTGTGAGGTAAGAAGGCGATGTCATAGAAGCCAAGAGCAGAAAGTTTTACAATTAGAAGTGGTCATCTATAGCAAATGCTTCACAGAAATAGTGAGGATACAGAACTGATCAGAGATAGTCATTAGAGCCTTTAGAAAGAGCAACTTTGGAGTGGGACAGAAAGACTATATTGAATTTATTGACAAACAAAAGATCTACAAATGGAGACAACTCTTGAGGTTTGGTTTGTTTCTTAGTTTGGTTTCTTGTCTTTGTCGGGAGGGTAGGGCACACAAATAGAATGGTGGCTACAGTGCCAAATTGTTTATAAACTTTATACTAGCTGTGTAACTTGTTCAATATCTGTGACATTCACATTTCAAAAATGTAAAATGAACAAATATTTGCTTGGTTTGCTATAGGGATTAAATTAGATAAAGTGACATAATACATGTAAAGTGCTTGGTCCCATAGGCCTGGACATTGTTAGCTTGTATTAGTTAATTTTTAGTAGGTACTTTTTCCCCCTTTCTCTGTGATCCTGTCCGTAATACCTAGCACATGGCTGTTCACATAGTATGGATTTAATAAATGGCTATGGAATTAATGTACAATGAGAAGTTAGGTTTTATTTATTTATTTTTGTTATTCATTTATGTATTTACTTAGTAGAGACAGGGTCTGGCTCTGTTGCCCAGGCTAAAATGCAGTGGCATGATCATGAATCACTACAGCCTCGAACTCCTGGGCTCAAGCGATTATCCTGCCGCAGCTTCCCAAGTAGCAAGGATTACAGGTGTATGCCACCATGCTCAGCTAGAAATTAGGTTTCAAATGGTTGGTTGCCCTTATGTCTCCTGTAAGCAGATTGAAGGTAGGTTGTTGATTAAAAATTATTATTTAGAGATTTTGATAACTACATATACAAAGTTTTTTTTAGGGTCAGACCAGTGCCTTTACCATTTTTCCTTCATAACATGTTTATTCTGCCTCCAGGTCTGTTTGTGCTGCGTGTGTGTGTGTGTGTGTGTGTGTGTGTGTGTGTGTGTATGTTTTGTTATCTTTTGTTTCTCTCTGTATCCTCCAAAGTCAGTGAAGTTTTCTTTAGATAGCCTAGCCCAGGATCTGTCCCTTCCATAACTCACAGCTGACCCATTATAGCCTGAAAGAAGTTACTAACTCAGAGTTAGCAAGGGAAGCCATGGACCTGTTTGTGCCAGTAAGATTGTGGATCTGTGCTGTTGCAAAGGGATCCTCTAAGTGTCCTCCTTTCTTAGAGGGAGCACATGAGAACAATCTTATTAGTGGACTTCAAACTACTTAGGCACCAGCTAATCTGCATTTAGAAGCCGAGTGATTCTAAGTGTTGTCTGGGAAAACCAGATGCCCAGCTACTGGAGACCTTGAGGCCTGTGGAAATTTGAGTTGGGTGCAACTTCTAACTCTGGGAGAAATGGGGAGCCTCTGGTCAGTTGTACAGTAAACTCAGAATAAGTTCCCAGAACAACTTTCAAATAATTCTGCTCATCTTTCTCTCCATGAATGTCCCTACCAAAGGACACACACACACACACACACACACACACACACACACACACAGAGAGAAAAAAAAGGAAAAAAAAGAAAAATGACTAGGAAAGAAAGAAATGACAAAGGAAAACTTACTGGAAATCTTATCCCCCTCTCTACTATTATATATATAAATAGCTGACAAACTCTCTTAGAACCTCCTATCTTGGAGAAATTTATTAACCTAGGATAGAAATAAAGCAGACCGGGTGTGGTCACTTACGCCTGTAATCCCAGCACTTTGGGAGTTTGAAGAGGGCAGATAGCTTAAGTCCAGGAGTTTGAGACCAGCTTAGGCAACATGGTGAAACACTGTCTCTACAAAAAATACCAAAAAAAAAAAAAAAAAAAAGAAGAATTAGCTCAGAATGGTGGCACATACCTGTAGTCCCAGCTAATTGGAAGGTTGAGGTGGGAGGATTGCTTGAGCTTTGGAGGATGAGTCTGTAGTGAGCTGTGATGGCACCACTGCACTCTAGCCTAGGTGACAAAGCAAGACCTTGTCTTAAAAAAAAAAAAGATAAAGTAAAGCAAATACATAGCTTTTGAAATTGAACAGAAATTATTTCTTAGGGCAATGGCCAAGTAAATGTAGAAATTCCCAGGTTATAAAATGAAATTCTAGCCTGTCATTATAAAGTATACCAGGACAAAACACTTAGAATTTAATGGGGAAAATTTTTATTTCAAAAATAAAATTGCAAATTATTTAAAAATCTAAAAGCTATAAATCAATTCTGAAACTACAATGAAGCAGCAAGAAATTTGAAATATACAAAGGTCCACAAATTTACCAAAGTTTGATTTCTCAATTAGTAATGCAGGACAGAAAAATAACTGCCTTACAGGATTGTTACACAAACCAAATAATATTTAAAGCTTCTGGGAGAGCTCATGGAAGACACCTAACATTTGAATTTATTTTTTCGTTGAATGAATGCCTTCTCACACTTGCTGTGTCCAGCAACACAATAGGTACTTGTAATATACAAATGACTAAAAAGAGGACTCCACTCTTAAGTAGCTTGATATATATATATCTCTAATGGCTGAAGTGGACAGTTTTCATGTTTATCCTTTATGACCCAGCATGGAGCATGTCTTTCTGAAGACATTTCTTTCTCAACTGAATAGGTTGAGTTCCTGGGTGCATGCTTCCCTAGCAACCTGTACTCCAGCTTTTATCACAGTAACATGAATAACACTTATTCCATGTTATTCATTTATTTGACAAATTCAATAACATTGGAAAAATATTCACTGACCACATATATGTCAATTACTGTGTAAGGAAATCTCATCATTGTCATTATCATCATGGCTAACACTGACATAGAGCTCACCACAGGCCAAGCACTCTTCTAAACAATACACATTTATTAATTACTTGACTTGAGCAACAATTCTATGAGGAGGTGATTAACTTTGGGTCAGAAAATTGTTCTGGAAAAGCGAAGTCCACTCTGGGTTTTGAAAAATTGATAGGTGCTTACCATGTCAACAGGGTAAGGAAGAGATACTCTGCTAGGCATTCTAAGAAGGCTGAAATAGACAAATGTTTTCAGGGAAC